TGTGTATCTTATGCTTGGACGTATTCCTAGTGTGGTTTTGGGCTGTGCCTTGATGTTGGAACTGCTACCTGGGTATAATGGCCTTTGAATTTTACAGCATTGGTTTATTTGTACTGGCCATGGATCTTTTGAACTATAAGTTGCAGCTGTGTTGGTCCTCACTTGCTGCACGAACATGGGTGCTTAAACTAGAGAATCTTGATGAATTTGAGGTTCTTTTGGTTTTCAGTGGTTTTATTTTGGTCACCTGTACCCTGGGAAGTATGGGGCTGGAAATTCTGCTGCCATGGACTGTTGAAGCTGAGTTTGGAATCACCTGCTGTTTCCCACTGGATGCTACTATGGTGCTGCTGTGTTTGGGGTGATGGAGTGGATTAAACTGTGGTTTTGGGCTGTGCATTGCTGCTGGAACTGCTGCCTCGCTTGGTAAACGTTCAACTCCTCCCTCAACCTCCTGGACACTCACTTTTGTCATGCCTTACTTCATTTGCATGAGGATTTTTTCTGCTTTAAATTGGTGGCTGATAATATGATTTTTATTTAATTTATGGAGTTATCTAAGTATAGCAAATCCAAGTATCTAAAGCTACTTTTTTTATGTTTCGTTACGAGTTGTTGGAATGTGATATTTCTTAAGGAACAACTAAAATACGAAAAAAGCATGCCACGTTGAGTACTTTTATTCATTTTCTTGTTGATGAGTTATTACATATTGAGCTTTGCTATGCTTTTTGGGGTTCTATTAGGGTTGAATTTGATTTTGGCATAGTGTGGTTTCAGAGTTGGGCTAGGTGGTCCGTAGAGAACTAGATTTATGGTTGGATTTTTGCTTAGATTAGCTCTCTTAGCTTCTCAAATCAGCTGATTTTTGGCACTATAGACCAGAGTGCTAGTTTTTTTGTTTGAACTCTAGTCTCTAGGTATGTGGCTTTGGGAATTGATATTCTACAATGATTTTACATGCATATGATTTTGAGCTACAAGATTAGCTTCATGTTTTGTTGGCAGGTGGTGTTTTGCCCGAGAAATCATATAATGATCATAGTTGACCGTTGGGGCTGCTGAGCATCTTTTATCCTACAACTTTATTGTGTTGGGGAGATACTTGCTGTGCTGGAGAGAAATTGGATCTGTTGGGGAGTTATTTTTGCTGAAGTGTAGATAGAAGCTTATTTTGAACTTTACCAGTTATGTCTGCCTTGCAGATTTAGGAGTTTAATTCTTTGAGTTTTATGAAGCTTTATTCAGGTGCCTGAATTGTAGATGGATTATGCACTAATTTGGAACACTTTAAATCTGAAATCCCTTGAAGGCATAGCTAAGTTTTAGTTTTTTAAAGCTTGTAATGTAGCTCGTGATCTGATACTTTAAACATTTTGTGATTTTATGCCTTTGAGTTTTTAATTTGTTTTGTACTATAGCTTTGGGCATTACACAACATGTCTTTGTATCTTTCTTTTCCTCTTTTAATATAACTTTTTATTTCAAAAAAGTACTTCGTAATATGAAAAAGAATTTGTAGCAATTAAAGTTTGCTACTAAAAATGAGCTTTTGTAGCAAAGTATAATTTGTGGCAATATAAAGTTTTTACTGATTATTTGCTTTTGTAGAAAAGTATTATTTGTGGCAATTCAAATTTGTTACTAAAAAAGAGCTTTTGTGGCAAAGTATTATTTGTGGCAAATCATATTTTGCCACAAAAGTCATGATTTTTGTGGCAAATTTAAATTTGCCACAAATACATTTTGTAAAGGGGTATTTGTGCCAACTTTATGGCAAATTTATTTGAGAATTGCTACAAAAGTGTATTGTGGCTAATTTTTTATATTTTGTGGCAAAATTTGATGCCACAAAAAGTAATTTTTTTTGTAGTGACATACTACTAGTAATACATTACGGTTTCTCAAAACTTAGAAAGTAGTTCTAGGATTAATAGTCTAATTACTGTTTAAAAAGGGTATTCTTAATTTATTATAGACAACTTATAATAGATGACGGTTTCTATGAATAAATTTTTATCATGATGCGATATATTTATATGATAACAATGTTCCCTCAGAAGATAAGAATATTATTTGTTGATACCTTTTATTTCGCTATACTTTGTATGTTGATTGTTATCTTATGATAAAGAATATTGATTAAAAATAGTTATAAACTGAAAAACCAGACTACCATTTAAAAGTAGTAGTCTTAACTAATTATTGATAACGGTGGCAACAAAAACTGTATTTTTAGGTGAAACGGACTACTAATAAAAGATTACCGTTCCTCACAACTTTAAAAACAATTCTACCTTTAATTCATAGACTATTGTTACAAAAGAGTCTTCTATTCGCATTAGAAAAAACGGTGGCAAAAAACCATATGAAATAAACAACTAGCAATAGATAACTGTTTCTTATAAGTTTAAAAATAGTTCTAGACTAAAACACCAGAATACTGTTTAAATAGAGTATTCTTAACTTGTTTTTGACAACTGTTGTAACAAAAGCTGTATTTTAAACTAACACAGACAACTAGTGATAGATTACAATTTCTCAAAACTTTAAAAACAGTTTTAAAGCATAGTACCTAGACTACTGTTCTGTAGCCAAGAAAAACTCACAGTAGTCTGGTTTTTTTTAACTACTGTATTTCCATAAACAGTAGTTAATCAACAGTCGTCTGATACTGTTTTTGGCATAGTGTATACTATTAGCAATGATACAATAATAAATCACTTTCAAAATATGAAAACTCGATGTTATCAATTGTAGGATGTATTTCACATTTGCAACACTATTTTTAATTAGTATTTTTTCAATAATATATATAAACTTTAATGTTATATATTATAGAATACTGTTTATTTACTGTTAGAAACGTGATTGTTGGATATAAATCTTCTAAATTGCGACCCCATGGTTCAAATATTCTAGGTCTGCCCCTGCTAATATCCAACCACTTTCTTCCTCCAAACACATAAAAATTACTCCATCTTCACATCATCAACACCATCTATTTTTTTAGTTGGAGCTCAAGAACAAATCTTCCATTTTTGTAAGATTTTATGATTGTAATAAATATTTATTTGTTTAAGCTTCAAACTATGAACTTCTAAATACCATTGGGGTTAGAAGCTGGTGCAATTAATTGTCCATCTTAATGTTTTGAATATTTTTATTATGGATTGTTAATTTTATTTTATTTAGATGTTGTATTTAAAAATAAATAAATTTGGAATGTTTGTGATTTTTAATTAAGGACCCAATCATAAACATAATTGTTACAAGGAATATGAGCTAAAATTGATATAATACATAAATAGAACACTTTTTAAATACACCGTAAGCCTTCTTTACCCTTAGTCGGGATTGAAGACTTCCGGGTGGACATAATTATTGACTCGTATTTTTACACCATTAAATTGGGTAAACATACAATAAATTAATTATGGTTGCCGTTGTATCATTAGCGTGTTTAAAGTCCGAGTGGTTATTATTTAGGTGAACTACGAGAGCGTCCCTAAATACTTTTCTACAACCCCACACATTCTATATAAAAATAAATTTACAATCCAACTTTTATAAAAACATTGGACAATTAATGTACCAATTTCTACCCCTAACTTTTCATCATCAAAACTTTGTGTTGTTTGGAACTCTCTTTTTACACTTTTTATTTTATCCCTAAAACAAAAAAAGACCAAAAATATGTTACAACTTCTTTTGTAAACTTTTGTTTAAATTAAATTAACTCACGTCTCTCTGAGGTTCGATACCATACTTACAAGGGTTCTTTTTAGTTGTTATTTGGGTTAAGGAGCAAAATAGGAGTAAAACATTGATAAAATCCCAAAATAGAAGTTGAAAGATAAAACCCCCAAAATAGGAGTTAATCACCCTTAGGCATTAACCATGGGCTGGAACGCAGATATCCCTTCATCTAGATCACAAGCTTCATAAGCAATTTCAGAAACATCCTTATGAGTGGTAACCCCAACAATTCATCGCCCTCAACTTTGTTACTCCCTTCCAAATGCTAGGACATAGCAATCTTTATAGCCAGCCTTGTTTTTTGTGCATTTCTTCGTGTTTGGTAGTAGTTAACAGCAGCAGTGTCATATCGGCGGCACGCCATAACAGGATTAGCTTGGGTGAAATGCACACGCACATTCACAATTGTCGTAGATATGCAACCTTTAGCATATTTACTTTTTCAGGGTAAGGATGACCATATGAGAGAATCACATGAGGGAAGCTGGTGGCGGCAGTGATTTTTCTATTGAAGGAAATCCCCTTTCTAGTGTTTGCAACTGCGTGCAGAGAGCTTCAGAAACCCACTCGAAACGTAAGATGCCGATCGAGGCGGGGAATGGCGGCCACCGAGCTAACAATCTACCCAATCTGCACATCCAAAGTGAGGCTAGAGATTGACGAAATCTATCACCACCACACTCTACCACCATCACACTCTGCACCATTACCGACACCACCATCACACTGTGCATAGTCTCTGTCGCAGTGCCACATTAACAACAATGAAGGTATAATTCCAAACATGGCCACATATAATGTCACATATGGTAATACATAATGCCACAGATTACCATATAATGTCACATATGATAATGCATAATGCCACATATTATCATAGGAAAAGGGACCATTTGATGAATTAGATTCGGATCCCAACTTGTGCTTCCAAAGAGTGGGGATTCTGATCTCGGCACTGGCTAGCGCCGAATATGATGCTTTGGTCCCGCCGGCAAGTCTAGGTGAGCGACGTGCGGAACTTGTTGAAAGGAGTTGCGGTAGAAGAGGAATCGCGGAAGGGACGATTTTTTTCCTTTCTGGATTGAGACAATGGAGCAATGATTACTCAATCTAGAAAAAATCAGGTTTAAAATTGAAAATATATAAATCTTATTGAAATTGAGAAATTAAATCAAATTAGAGGAGTCTGCTCCCGCGCTGCTGCAATTCAAGAAAAATACATTACCAGTGAAATTGAGTGCGATGGAGGCTTGGAGATGAAGACGCATAAAGGAAAGGCAGGTTTTTTTCCTTTCTAGATTGAGTAGTGCGCTGGAAATAGGAAAGGCAAGTTTTTTTCTATTTAATTACTCCTATTTAGAGGAGTTTAAGTTTGAGCTCCTACTTTGAGGATATAGCATATGTTTTACTCCTATTTCGAGGGTTTTCTTTTGTTATTTTTGCCCGTTCTATACTGCAAATCACATTCCATTCAAAATTGTCCTTCTTAAGGAGGTCCGTCAAGGGGGCGGTAATGGAGGCATACCCTGCAATGAACCGGTGATAATACCCGGTGAGACCCAAAAAAGCCCCTCAACTGCTTAATCGTGGTTGGAACCAGGCAAGTCTGCATTGCTGTGATTTTATCCAGGTTAGGTCTGAGCTCTCTTACCGTGACCAAATGTCCCAAGTACTCAATGGTCGTCCTGAAAATAGTGCATTTGGAAAGTTTTACATAAAAAGAATGCTCGAGGAGAGTCCAAAGAACGACCTAGAGGTGTTCGGCATGGGTGGCCAGCGTCAGACTATATACCAAAATATCATCAAAAAATACGATTACAAACTAGCGTAGGAAAGCCAAAAAGATGCTGTTCATGGCTGCCTGAAAGGTAGATGGTAATCTTCGTGAGGCCAAAGGGCATCACCAGGAATTCAAAGTGGCCCTCATGCGTGCGGAACGCGGTTTTGAATATATCGGACTCGTGCATGCGGATTTGGTGATACCTGGAATGCAAGTCCAATTTAGTGAACACCCGGGCGTGTCCCAACTCATCGAATAGTTCTTCAGTCGTCAGAATAGGGAAATAGTCCGGCACTGTCGCTGCATTAAAGCAGGGTAATCCACACAAAAGCGATAGGAACCATCTTTCTTACGCACGAGTAACACCAGCGAAGAGAAAGGGCTGTGACTAGCCCGAATAATCCCATGTTACAACATCTCTTGGACCTGCCGTTCGATCTCCGTTTTTTGAAAATACGGATAGCGATATAAGCGAATGTTGATAGCTTTAGTATTAGCTAGCCTCCAAATGAATGCAATGGTCCCAACTTTGAGAAGGGCGAGACTGCTCGGCATCTTAAAAACCCATGCATGGTAGTGGAGAATAGACCGGATGGCCTCTGGCACGTCATCGGGAAAAGTGACTGGTCCATCCGATGAACCCGCGGTGTGGAAGCATGACGGGACAACTTCATATAACTCAATGCCAGGCTGTTCTGCTGCCAAAGAACAAAGGTGGTTGTAGGAGATTCGTCGTGAGGCCGAGACATCCCCACGAAGAAGCATAGTGGCGCCATTCCATTGAAATTCCATTGTCATATTGGCGTAATAATGGGAAACCTTCCCCAGTGTTTGTAGCCACTGAACGCCCAACACAATATCTGGCTCGTGCACCTCTAGCAAATACAAGTCGACCTTGAAGAGATGGCCTTGTATGTATAAGGGCGTGCAGGGGCGAGAATAAGAGCACCGAAGAGAATCACCATTACCCACGTATACCCGAAAATGAGGTACGGGGTGGAGAGCTAAGGCGAGACGTTCCGCAACGAGGGGGTGAATAAAGTTGTGGGTGCTGCCCCCATCAAGCAACACTTGCATCGCATTCCCACCGACTAAACCTGCTAACTTCAGAGCCCGTGGACTTGGGCTGCTAGCTAACGAGAGGATACTAGAGACGTCACCAGTGATTACCGAATCCAGGGAAGCATGGGGATCAAGACGTCACTCCAGCGGTGAATCCTCCTCGTCATTGTCCGGGCCCAAAAAGGCCAAGAACCGGTGCTTACAATGTATAAGAGCAACCCACTTCTCGTCACAATACCAACAAAGGCCTTTTTTTCTACACGCATTCTTCTGGGCAGAAGAGATGTGAATGATTGGCTAATTGGAGGTTGGCTTGGTCTCCACTATTTTGGACCCGTTGGTAGAGGGTGTAGGCCCGGAAGGATTTACTGTGTTGCCCGTTGTGCTCGGAGTTCCGGTTGGACGAGGCTTCCATGGCCGGCGAGAAGACCTAGTATAGAGGGCTCCAACATCTTGATGACATGCAGTAAGTTCCTAAGCCAAGGCAAAGGCATCTTGTAGCGTACTAGGGTTCCGCAAGTGCACCTCACGTTGTACGGGTTGTTTCAAACTGGCGATATACATTGCAATCAGCGTGGATTTGGGCACATCCGATACCCGATTAAGGAGGGACTCGAAAGAAGTCTGATAATCCAACACAGTGGTAGTGTTATGCAATTTAGACAGTAACCCGATGTAATTCTCATAATAGTCGGGATCAAAATGATGTCGTACCGTGACGAGAAACGCTTGCCAAGAAGCCCTGCAATTGTTGGATTGATAGTACCTAAACCAAACGGACGTCGAATGATCAATCAACATAGCAACGATGTGTAGCCGTTATGGTTCCAGAGTCAAGAAATAATCAAAACACTTTTGTATTCGAAAAATCCAACCCACCGATCATCCCTAGAAAAATGCAGATCTTCGACGCGCATTCGTGGGATCGGATCCAATGGAGCTGCATGGACCATCTATGGGAAGGTGGAGGCCGCCAAGCAGATGATGATGTACAATACGACTGACGAGCGTCGTCCAAACGACTTGTCGCTGTTAACTCTGCAACCTGCAGTTTGGTGGCCTGGAGTTCTTTCCCCAAATTGGCGATGGCATTCATAAGATCTTCCATGTGAGGACAGGAGCATTGGTCGAGGAGACCATGAGAATGACTCAATGAAAGCACCAAATTAATACGACGAGCTAAGGAGGAATGCAGGACGCATGGTTTCATGGGCAACCAACGTTGGGTTGGCACACTAGGGTTTGTGAACGGAAAAGGAAAAAGAAGAATTTTACTAAGTATTTTTTTCTTATTATTAGTAATTGGAATGGGTGCCTAAATTTATAGGCGCTAAGAAAAATCCCAAACCTAACGTAATAAGATAACCCTAATCCCGTCGGTTCAAAAAAAGCGACAAGGTAAAGAACTGAAAAGAAACCCTCAAAGGAGCTTATAGACCGCTCACCTTGAGACACTTGTTTGCAACCGAGATTGACTTTTGGCAAGACGTCGAGCACAAGAGGCAGGCTACAACATTGATACACAAAATTACATGGATGCAACCACGTAGGGAAGTGATTGTTCCAAGGATTAAATTTGTATATTTTATAAAAATGTAATTAGTTTATTTTGGCGAGCATTTTATAAGCTCCTTCGAGGGTTTATTTACGATTCTTTACCTCGTTGCTTTTTTTGAACCGTTAGAATAATAAATATGTTGTAATTTCTTCAACATTCTTCATTTAAATAATAACTACATTATTAGAATTTATAAATTAGAATATTATATTAATATATTAAAATAGTAGATTTCAAAAAAATTAACCGTGATCCGGTCCGGAACCGGACCCGCAACCGCCGGGTGTGGAACCGGCTCAGGAACCGTCCCCTCCAGTGCCGATTACGGTGTCTCTTCTCGGTGGTACAGGAACCGTTGGTTTCAGAACCGGACCGACATTGTATACCGTGTCCAGGCCTAGTTGAAGTAGAATAATTAAGTAATGGTGTGTTTGAGAACATGGATTTGGATTTCAAATCCGGATTTGATTAAAATTCCATGTTTGAGAAACTTAAAAATTTTGAATTTGGATTTGAGTCAAATTCTTCTCATTCATAACAAAGCTTAATTTAAAATCTATGCACCTCCCCTTGTCATTTGAAATTTAAAATTTCAAATTTTGAAATTGAAATGCATGAATTGAAATGAAATACTAGTTGCCAAACACTAGCTAAAGAAATTTTAAAGAGTAAATTCCATAATTGGTCCTTTATAACAATGGGGTTTCCATATTTAGTCCTCTATTATCAAATATTACCCCCGTAGTCCTTTTTTAAAGGGTGCCTTTCCACAAATGGTCCTTTTTTTGATCTTCTGCCATGTTGGTGTTAATTTAAAGGCTAAAAATATAATTTGACATCAACATTATGTTTAGTAATGTGTTCTGATATTGGTTAAGCGGATAACACAAAAATAATGACTATGATTGTGGGCTAGAATTCCGACGAAAGACCACATTTGTAAACCATAGTTGTAGTACAAAGCGACTGTAATTCATAAACGACGCAAATGGAACAGCCTTTGGAATTGTATATGACAAAAAAGATATATTATCATTGTGAAATTACACTTTTAGCCTTTAAATTAACACCAACATGATTGAAGATCAAAGAAGGACCACTGAGGTAATAATTGATAATAGAGTACTAAAAATTATGGAATTTAATCAATTTTAAAATTTATAAATCACTAATAATGAGGAACCCACCACCCTTTAAATTTACATATACGGAGTAGGAAACTACGCGCTCTGGGTTTAGGCGACTACGGGCGTGGGAGGCTCTGCCGGACAAAGTCATCATCTTCACCGTTTCATTCTTTTCGCACGCCGACAGTGACGACGAGGGAGGGGGGGGAAAACGATTCCTTGATTTGTGATTCGAGTTCTTCGTTCAATTAAGGTGAGTCGTTTTCATATGTCTATCTTTAGCCATAATTCATTGATTAGAATCGTATTCGTATGAATCTTGCAATCGATTGTGGAATTTGACGATTTGATTGTTGAACTACTTGTCGATTGGGTTTGTGTGTGTAAGTTCTGGTCGGAACCAGGCAGACAGCCGTCGGGTCGCCCGCAGGGGGTCGGCAGTGGCTTGGGGTGGTTTTGCCAAGTCAAATTAGACCCAATTGGGTCAATTCTGATACAATTGTGTCAAATTAGGTTTGATTTGGGAAATTGGATGCAATTGAGTTGTTTGGATTTAATTGGGTAAGGATTTGGTTTAATGGAGCTAAATTGGGTGCTACTGGGTTCTAATTGGGTTTGCTGGTTTGGTTGGTGATCGATGGATTACCATTGGGCTGTTTGGGCCGGCTTCCGGGCGGTGGGAAGCCGCCTGGGGGGTGTGGTTCGGTGGTTTTGGTTCGTCGGGTTTGTCCGGTCGGTTGCCGGGCTTATCCGGTGGCAATTATACTGTTCCAGCAGGGCCTGAGGGTAGAGTCCTTGGTTCCGAATTCGCAAGACCGGTAAGTTTATTTAATGACACTTTGAATTCATCTTGTTGTTTGAGCATGAAGGTAGTCGGGGAGGCATGGTTCTTCCAATATGCCATTGATTGTGCTGTTCTGATTATGTGAATTTGTTATGCTCTTATTAGGGTTATTTTTGAACTCTGAACTCTATTGAGAATAGGCCACCTAGTATATCTAAGCGGATCTAAACTGAATTGGATATCTTAGGCACCAATAGGATTTTGTTAGGTTTGGGCCTCGTGGAGCATGTCTGCATATCTAGTGGCTTGGGTTTCAAAACATATGTACGGGAGTCACTGTCCTACCTAAGGGATCCCTTGGTAGGGACTCCAACTTGCCTATTGAGGATCCTCTTTGGGTTTGTCTAAGCATCGGCCTCGAGTGATCTGCTCGAGTGCCCGTAACTCCAGCCTTAGTGATTTAAGCCTTAGTGATGTAGGTTCAGTACTAATTAGTTGTGAGGAATTGAGTTAAAAATTGTTGGAATCTTGATCTTGAACAATAATGTTGTCTATTCACTGTTGTTCCTTGGTTGTGTATGAATGTGATACTGTTTGTAAATTAATGCTAGCGTTAGATATATTCTCACTCGACTTTAAGTTGAGCGTGTAGTCTTTGTTGTCTTTGTTTGCAGGCACGTAAGTGTTTTGTTGAAGCTACTTTGAAGGGCAGCGAGACCGAAGGGGATGTTTTGGATGTAGTTGGGTTTAAACATTTATGGATTGGTTAATTAATTGATGCGGTACATTTCGTAAAGCTTCTGCACTGATTTGAATTAACCCCGCAAATTAGTTAAATTGTTTTTGAAATGTTTGACTTTTATTTAAATGTTTTTTAAAACTATTGTATTTTGATACCAGTTTAGTAACAATCCAACTTGCTAACTCGTTGGTTCGGGTTTTGCGGATTGGGGTGTTAGAGTTGGTTTTTATTTACACTAAAAAAGATGAAATATTTATTTTATTCAGATGAATCAGATGATTTGATGGGCATAATCTTTGTTTTACAGCCAAACTAATTAAGGTTCATTGGAAGATCAGAAATGGTTGTGGAAGATTCAATGATTGGGCAGAATGGGAATAATGATAAAGGAAACCATGTGGAGTTTCCAAACAATGACAATGGTGATTTCACATTTTTCGTCAAGGCCGAAGAAAATGAGGGAGTTGATGCCATTAAAGAGACCTCAGAAGTCGACATAACAGAGCGAGCCAATCTCGACAGAATCAGATATGGTATGGTTGAAGCCACTTGCCAGGAAACAAGCGAGATTTCGAGCTTTTCTGAGGAATCTATTTCCTGTGTTGAAGATTCTAATCTTTGCGACGATGCCACATCATCCCTGGAATTTAGTGATGTCAGCGACTTTATCGGTTTGAGGTTCAAAATGCAAACTTTTCCCCTCCTCTTTGACTATTAGCATGAAAACTGCTTTCCGTGCTTTGGGTTATGTTGCTAGTGTCTACGTTCTTGCTTAGTTGTACTTCACACACTCACCCACACCTTACTTTTATGGGATTTTACCAAGTACATTGTTGTAACTATTAAAGCCGCCCTATGTCATGTTCGTGAAGAATTCTTGAAAATCCACTGGGTTTCTTTGGCTGTATCTTATGACCTAGCCTAGTAACCCCTGAATCCAATTCTGAGATCTATTATCATATGGCTGACAACGATAGGGTGTTTTAAATTTTAAAGACCAATTCTTAAGGAGTGAGTTTTACATCATACTAATTAAAGATTTCATTCATTCATTCATATTTTTCCAGGAAGAAGGTGACACCTCAGTGGAGAGGTTTCATTAGACCTGTGATGTGGCGTTGTAAGTGGACAGAACTGCAGCTGGTGAAGTTCAAATCTCTAGCCAAAAAGTATGACAAAAAGCTTGCTCAATGCAGTGCCAGAAAACAGATTGAGTTCATGAACTTGGAACCCGAAGCTATGAATTCGAGAGCGATTCCATTTTCTTTCACGCCGCGAAGAAATGTGGTGTTCAAGAGAAAGCCAAGGAGGAGATGTGAAGAGACCCAAAACATTGCAGAGTATATGTCTAAGCATTGCCTCTTTTCCTTTAATGGTAAGTATTATTTTCTTATTTTCAGAATGAAATTTTTGTTCTTCATTGTGATGATGTTCCCAACAACTGTTTATATGTTTTTTTCCTTTGAATAAAAAAATTTGTGAACAAATTTGCAGAAAGCAGAAAGCTTGGTGCTGATGATGATAATAACCAGTTCAATTCAGGTGAGAGAGGTCTACTTGTCCATAATATTTTGAACTCTTCTTTCAATATTCTGAAATTTAAGGGTATAATTGGATTTGGAAAGATGAAAAATGACTTTTAGAAAAATGATTACTGAAAAAATAACTTTTAAAATAGGGTTAAACATATTTTTAGCCCCTGTAAAATAGATGAGTTTTTTTGGTCTCTATAAAATATTTTTTGTTTAAACCATCCTTACAAAATTTTATATTTTTAAAATGGTTTTATATATAATTAAGACTTAATTTGTTGACATAAAACATTTTTTCGTACTTAGTAGCTTAGTTTTTTATTTCTAATTACTTCAAACACAATTGTCATGTTCTAATTATATTCTTTATCAAATTATATTTCCAATTCCAAATTTTTATTATATTATATTTCTAGATAAATTGGAAATTAGAAACATAATATGAAAATAGGTACACAAGTTATGGTTTGAAAAATTGTATCAAATGTAACTGGAATTTCAAAATTAAGATATTGAGCATTAAATAAATGTGGTTATCTCATCTAATTAGAAGTGTTAATTATGTTTGAGGACTATTTTCAAAATAAATGTTTTTGTAAGGATGACTTTAACAAATACGGAGTAATATTTTACATGGACCAAAAACAAACCTCGACTATTTTACAGGGACTAAAAGTATATTTAACCCTTTAAAATATTTAACTTTTGATGTTTTATTGAAAGTTTGAAAATGAAAAAAAAAACTATTTTTGTTCTTATAGAATACAGAGTAATAAATAAAATAATAAACTTGCGCTAATTAACATCTGTTTGGCTTGATTGAATACAGCGCTGGTTTCCTCCGATGAAGAGGAGCAGCCGTTGAAACGCCTCAGGCGAATTGACGGTAATGACCCTGCGGAGCAATTGCTCAGGAGGATCGGGGATTTGCAGTCCCGAGCCAGTCGGTGCAGAGCCTGGCTGGAGAAGACAATGTCCGAGAATGGTGGGAAGATCCGAGCCGACGGTGAGAAGAAAATTACTGATTCGCCCCCGGCTGCTGCCGAAGAAGGTAACGGAGTGACGGAACAACTGCGGCCACCGCATCCGCCGTCCATAGCGGCTCAGCTGTTGGCAGCTCAACTCTTCCCTTGCAGCGACGATGACGTTTTGGATAATGGGGAATGCATAAGGGAGTTGACGGTGGACTCTCGCGTTGTGGGCACTCGGGTAAATGTAAGGGCCCTTTTCCTTCCACTTCCAGTTTGTCTACTAAAATCTTTTATGATTGAATAAAATGAATTTTGATCACTAATATATATAATAAATTTAAATATAAATCTAATTAAATTATTATTTATAGTATTATATAATGTAATTTTTAAAATTCATGTGAAACACTTCATATTTGATTACAGAAAGTCAAAAGGGACACACACTAGAACGTTGAATGTTTTTGCTATATACTCTGTAACTTTTTAAAAAAAAATTCATACTCAACTTGTCCTTAATTTATAGCCCTAGTTTAACTTACCATGAAGTTTTAGAAAAGATATATTAAAACGATTATGGAACGACTATTAGGATCGAAAACACCAATCGGGAAAGATCGAGATCAAATTGAGTGTGCATGAAAGAGTGGGACCAAAGTGATCCATGAGACAATTGCTGATAGTATAGTTAGTTGGTCCTTTAAAATGTGATTCGAAGCTAACGTTGTTATGTGGTTAAATTTGATGCAGAACGAAGATGTGTTCATGATATATGACCACAAGATAAAAGAGCGGATGAGAAGCTTTCAAGAGGGTGAGATTATTTTGGACTAGGAAGAAACATCTTCTTTAGGCAACGATAGTGCAGTTCGGGATAGGCATCTCGACGCCTTTGGTGATTGTGATAATTTTTTACAGCATTTTATGTTTATCTTTTTGCCTATGTTGATGAAGTATGTAATTAAAGCTAGTGGTGGTGGTATAGTTTAATAAAAACTCAAACTCAAAATTGTTCTTGTTTAATTCATGATCAACGTTCAGCTAGCTTGTCTGGGAAAAAAATTAATCTAGAGACAAATTTGATCGAGGAGAATGTAGTACAATGAAATAAAAAATTCAAAATCGTTCATACTTAAGTTATAGTTATGGGAATACATAGTTTTCATCCCTGTACAAGTCAGCATTTTATAAAATGTTTCAAATTTTAAGTACATATATGGATATCACAACTACAAGTGCAATCGCTCATGATATGTAATGGTGCACTCTACCATTATTCAATGGTGCATATTCCAATTTTGAGTGAACACAAACACAACCATAATTTTTTTGGGTTTTGCTAGGGGTACTGGTTTGTGTATACTAAATGTACACTAAGTTTGTATCTTACATAGACTATTGATGTCTGTGTTTCGCGTTGTTTGCATCTGTACACAAGGTGGGTACCTTCAAATTTTTCCTTATTTTTTTAGTGAAATATAATGGTGCAACTTATCATTATTGCACTTGTAATTGTTTAACGAGCACTCTTAAAATTCCAACTTTTAGCGCATAGTTCCACATCAATCATTGTTTTTTAAGATAAAATGTAAATACTTTATGTGTCTCAAAATGTTTGTCATATTGTAAAAAATGAAACATAATTTTATGTTTTTTCAAATTATTTTACTTAAAGATTTGTAAAGAAATAAAAGATAAAATTTACATATTTAAATACTCCGTACTAAATAAATATGACAAATTTGCATCTTCTGGGGATCAAACCCGGGTGGTGTGGTTCGCCAATCAACCATATATATATATATATATATATATATATATATATATATATATATATATATATATATATATATATATATATATATATATATATATATGTTTGATATAGCGATTCGACCAGTTGAACCACTACTTCGACCAATAAACCAGTGAACCAGTATCTTGGCCGGTTCGATCACCGGTCTGGTTCTGAAAACTTTGATTTTAACGCCGTTTTATTGCCTGTAAGTCGGGGGATTGAAGTAAGCATTATTTTCAATCAACGAGTATCATCTTGAGAATTATTCCCTGCATCCTAAAACTATCTTCTAAGTTACTATTCACACGGTCAAACTTAAATCACTTTCTTGACCTATTTTCGTTAGCTATTTGATAAAATAATATAGTCTTGTCACTTCTTGTTTTGTAGAACTTTTGATGTAGTTTTTAAATATATAAATTTTATTTTATAATTTTACATCTACAATCAAATAAATTGAATTGAAAATAAAGTCGGTCAAACCTCGTAAATACAAATGGAAAGATAGTTTTAGGACAGATGAAGTACTTAATTTGGAGGACTAATTTCAAAAAATACATGATTATTGAGTTTTGGGAATTTAATAGAAAAATAACGATAAGTATGTTCTTTCAATAAGGAATTTGAGAAAACACATTGTTATTGTGTAGTTTTTTTTGGAATTTAACAAAAACAATGATGAGTATAATCTTCCTCGAACTTTTGTCGGCTTCCAAAAATGGGAATTTTCCTGGTCAATATACGCGCTGAGCCAAAACCTCAGTTCTGTTCTATGACAGCCTCCCTTCTCCTGTTGCCCATCGTTGAACTTAGGGATCTTATTTGCCTTGGTCTTATCATCACAACATTAACTCAACCGGTGGACTTTCTAACTTAAAAGGGATTTTCTTGGGGGGTTTTGGGGAAGGGATCGTTGGATTGATCCATTATCTTGGAGCTTTTCTCGCACTGCAATTCCATATTTGGATTTTGATTCGAAAGTAGACATTCATGAGAAAGGGTTCATTTCATTTATGTTTCTTTCCCCTTGTGAGTGTAGTTGACCACTAAATTCGAGTTTTGGATGAAATATAGTAGTGAATCACTAAGAATTCAGATAAACAAAGTATAGAATTGCGGCATCTGCAAGTGTTTTTCGTTGGACAGGTTCTTCTCTTTAGTGATTATCCGTGTGGGAATTATTTAAAGAGGTTTTGAGGTTCTTGGGGTTGATAATTGCAGATGATCGACGAAAAAAGAAATACACTGAGAGGGTTTTGTGAACCAATTCAATCAAGACCTAATGTGTACTAATCGCGTTCTTTTATTAGTTATATCTGTGATTCTGCTTGTGACTGCGAAAGGAAGTTGCCATGAGAAGAACATCAGGAGGCCAGAAGAGCATATATTGTTCACTCTAATCAACTCAAGGGATATACACCACAGCGGGGTATGGTTTTTTATGCTCATATCTTTCTACCTTTGCATACCTGTACTGTAATCTAAGTCATTTGTTGGAATAATTTTCGGGTTGCCTAATTGTTCTTCTTTATAGCGTTGACCACATTATTAACTTTGCACAGAAAGTTGCATTTTTCTCATCTTGGATGGGAAATGAATTTTACAGACATATCATTCCTTCTACATTTACACTATGTTTGGTTCAAGGAATTTGAAAGGGAGAAGAAAAGAAAATGAAGTGGAAAACCATTTTTCTTGTTTGGTTAGAGGGGAAAAGAAAGGAAAAGTGGAAGGAAAAGAAAATGAGGAGGCAAAATATACCAAGTGGAGGGAAAACCAAATTCCTTCCATTTTGGTGAGGAAAATGAGAGAAAACCATTTTCTTTTCTTTTCCTTCCAAAATCCTTGAGCCAAACATAGTGTTAAACCTCAGGCTCAGATTTGCTAAGGCTCCATTGTAATTTCATTAGTTTATTCTTATTTCTTAATTTCCAAGTATTTTCTGCCCTTAAACATGAATGTATGGGAAATTCCTTATATCAAAACCTAACTATGGATGCTTTCTATAGCGGGTACCATCTTATACTTATGCTTTGAAATATGGTAGTGGTCCATATATCTATTCTATTAGTTGGTTAGAAATGTGTGCAGATGGTCAAAGGTTAAATAATTATCATCAGCACTCCTAGAAGTTCAGTATGTTCACAATATTACTCCAAGAGAGTCTAGAGTTTACATTGATCCACCTATTTTGAAGGCCTATCTTTGATCAATATGCCGTCTTGGAGTATTATTATAAAAATGTTATAAAAATGTTGAATTCTCAAAGTGTATATGATAATTATTTAATATTGGAGTATTCTTGTAAAATCTCATATTTCACTTAGTATTGTTGTAACAACAAAAACAACAACCCAGTTGAATCCCACAAGAGTAGGGTCTGGGGAGGGTGTGTGTACGTAGACCTTACCCCTACTCGAGAGTAGAGAAGCTGTTTCCAAAGAGACCCCTAGCTCAACGTTGAAAGTTGCATTGATTGACTAACTGCTACTTCATTAATCATAGAAGCGCAGATAGTTTAGAGATCCATTTTTTTTATTCCATCACACCCCCAAGCCAAAAAATGGGGAATTTTTGGCTCCATTGGAGATGATGGAAAAGTCACGTAGTATTGCTGTGAATTTTTCTTATTTCTTATTATCCCTATTAAAATGGACTTCGAAAAGACAAATATGGAGTATATTTTACCCTCATACAAACATATTATAATTGGACAAAAGTGTCTTTCTACAGGCCGAGCTAGTATGGCTAAATTGCGGGATAGAGTTGACACAGGCAGAGGAAGCAGTTGAAGACCATGAATTTTCAGTCCTAGAGGAATCATTTACAGGAAATAATGATATTAGCTCTAGAAGTAGGCACCCAGCCAAAAAAGATTCGACGGAATTTGAAAGTCTTGTACATCCATTCATAAAACAAACCCTTCTGGATTGTTTAAAAAAGAAGCATCTCAGTTTTCTAGTCTCTGGGGAGGAAAAACGTTCAAAAAATTGGTTTGCCCAGTGTTTGGATTTTCTGTTTTCTTGGCTTGATGGCACTCCGAGGCGACGTGAATTAGTTCAAAATTATGGAGAAGCACCTGCACCATCTCCAGTAGTGGCCTCATTTGGTGCAGCCGCTTCAAGTTCTATAGCTTCTACCACTCCACCACCTGCTCAGGCTCTTGTAGTCCCATTCTTTCAGCCAATTTCTGGAAACTCAAGCTTGCAACCTGTAGTTAGTGGGTCTTCGAGTTCAGGTCCACCTTCGAAAAAACAAACCAACCACAGAACTGTGGCCATTGCTGTTACTGTGACTGCGGCACTGACATTTTTTGTAGTTTCCCTACTGTTTATATGTTGTTACAAGGTTTTCTTGAGTGGGTCCGGAAGGAGACGTAATGATGAAAGACCTCTCTTATGCTTGAGCTTAAGTGACTATTCTATTGGTAAACTCATGCTTATTATGCTTTCCTTAATTTTATAACTTATTTTCTGCAATACTAGTTATTAATATTCTCTTCTTGCGAAGTACTTGACTGACCAGGGGTAATCATTTACTTCAGGAAATTCATTGAATGATGAAAAATCTAGTAATCATTCGTCTAAACGCCAATCTGGTGGGAATTACTACATGAATCACCAGTTCAGTGGCAGTATCTTCATGGGACCACAGGCATCCAATATATCTAAAATGGAGGTTCTTGTAGGAGCAGTCTCGAGTGCTGCTGTCACCTCGATTGAGGTCTCTGCACCTGAAAACCTGGGCATAGCTGGGCTGCCTCCGCTAAAGCCTCCCCCTGGTAGGGTGAATCCCCATGTGCCCCTACCTCAGGTCCAATCAACCCCTTCAGCTTCCCCCTCTCTGGCTAACACAGATCGTCTGCATCCTTCATCTCTAGCTAAATCACCTTCTCAACCTTCACCTCCCCCTGCTCCAGCTAAGGAAGGTGCCCCTCCTCCACCTCCTTTACCACCAAGGCCTTCCACTGGTGGCACACGTGTTTCCCCACCTGGACCACCACCTCCACCTCCTGTTCATTCTGGCAAGGCTGGTCCACGTCCACCACCACCTCCTCCTATGGGCTTGAAGCCGCCTCAACAATCAGATGTTCGACCAGGTCATTCTTCAACGGGTGCCACTGAAGAGGGAGGACAGGATGGCCCAAAAACAAAGCTGAAGCCTTTCTTCTGGGACAAGGTCCTAGCGAACCCCGATCACTCAATGGTTTGGCATCAGATAAAATCAGGATCCTTCCAGTGAGGCCTTTAAAAATAT